CCCCAAAACCCCAAAACCCCTCAAATAGTGGAATTAAGGATTTTTTGCTACTAATTCTCTAATCATTAATAGATCGATAATTAAATAATTATCACTATTATTTATCTTTGAGGTAAATATCAACTACTTTCCTAATTTTTACTATTTGATAACCAATATCTTTATTTGCCTGCGTCATCACAAATTGAGGTACGCTTCCTCTCATATCTATTTCTGTCTAATAGGTAGCAAAAGTCTTGTTTGGATCATCAGCTAAAGGCTCTAACTTCCAGCCGCCTAGCTGAAGCCATCCTCGAACTATACCCTTTTATTGTGGTCTGATATGATCAGCATCAATAGAAAATACAATAGCATAAATTGTTCCATTCGGCATCTTGTTAAGATGTAAAATGAACATAAAATCTCTAGCTGAAACAATAGCTACCCTCTTAGTCTTTTAGTAAACCATATAAGTTTAATCAGCTACTCTTTCTAATACAGTGCTAAAGTCAAACACTGGGTCAAAATACTTTCTATAGTCATCATCACCTATCACCTTGACTATGTCATCAGCTTTCTTTTCTATTATACCCTGTGCTTTCATGCACTTTAGACCATTTTCTGATGTTCTTTACCAAATATTCAAACCCTTTTTCTTATCTTCAACCGAAATCTTCCACTAATCAAGACTTATCTGATTTTCGAATTCTCTAAGTTTATCCAGAGCCTGAGTTAGGTACTCTAAATTGATTCATGAATTTAAAAATTATTACCTATTCCTTCTATTTTAAAGTAGCTTTCCATTCCATCAATACTTTAAATATGTCTAATATTCTCATTTATATTATCTCTATTCAAATCGAAATTATTAGGTCGATACTCTTCTAGGCAATCTAATTAACCTTAAAATATTGTACCTTAATTAATTGTATTATCTCTTTCAGTAGTCATGAGAATATCTTTTTGCTCCTCGATGCTATCTTCTTAGTTTCTTGGCTACAGTTTGGAAGGGCTCTTAATTAAGATTATTTATTATAATTTAAATTATACATACCTCAATTAAAGTTTTCTGGTTATATCCTAATTAATTAGTTTATTAGAAATTTTAGCTGAATAAATCTTGTAGAATTTAGTTTAAAGTGTCTTAGGGCTCATAAATTTTCTCGATTTCAAGATTCTTATTTTCTATTCTATAAAAGATTATTAATGGAGAAAGTCTTATCTTACTTGCTTAGTTGAAACACCCTCTTTTACTCATATTGAGCAGATAAGGAAATTTATTTTCTAATCTAGAAGAATACTAAATTTCTTTTTGGAATTACCAGTTCCTCTTAAAAGATGTATACTGTACCATTTTTGCAATTTATTCCAGAAAATTAAACTTTCTGTACTAAAGGATCCAATTTAGATTGCAATGGTAAGTATCTCAGCATATAGACGTCTTCAGAGACACATTGAACACTTTCTAGAGATTTATCCCATTTTTATCTGAAAAATGAGTTAACAAAGTATTCCTTTATATCAGCAGCATTTGATGCTTCAAATGTGATTAATTTAGAGTAGTTCATGTAAATAAATAAATTATTATACTAAATTGTAAGAATTATATAAAATTTTGTTTGATATTCATCACTATAGCCATCATGGGGTTTTGGGGTTTTGGGGTTTTGGGGTTTTGGGG